GGGCAGCCCCAGCTCGGGGTTTCCAGGAGGGAAAGCAGACATTGGAACTTGTCAACGCTACCACTTCCCTGCCCCCACCCTCCCCACTGCTGCCTCCCCTCCTGGCGCCTGGAGGCTGTTGGCAGAGGGACAGACAGACAGACAGTGCACACACAGACTGGCTCCGCGGCACAGATCCCAAACCTGAACACACAAGCCTGGACACTCAGGTCTGCGGAGAGCAGAGGAGGCGGCTGTGTACCGAGGAGGGGCAGCACGTGCTTCTGTCTGCGCTGAGGGGCAGGGGGTGCTGTTGGCCTCTGGTGCTTCAGCCCAGACCAGAGCCCAGGCCTGGGAGGGGGAGGAGGCTGCTGGGGGAGTCTCTGGGAGGAGGGGGCTTTAATGGCTCTGACCAGGCTCCTAAGACTCCCAGCCCTTCTCCCTGCTTATACAACTGCTGCAGTGTCTGTGAGAATCCCACTGCCTTGGAAATCACCCACCACAATTCTCTGCGTAGAGAGGCAAAAGAGGCCCAGAGAGGGGTAGCCACTGAGCCAGGGTCACACAGCAGAATGAGGGGGGAGCTCAGGGCTCCTTCTCCCACTCTTGTCTGCTGTGCAGTGGGCTCATGGGTCAGTTCGTCCTTTCCTTCCCTGGCCCACTCAGTCTTTTCTCCCACCTGGGTTCTCCAGGCCATGACAATGACCTCCTTTTTGCTTTTCTTAGTCCCAAGTGTCTATCTCTGTGTTGCAAGGGCTCCAATACCCTCTAGCAGATCCCAGAAGGGAAGATGAGAGCTTGGTTCTGGGCCACAGGCTACTGGAGAGGCAGGGGTGGATGGGAGACGCAGAAACAGGAGGAAAGGAGCTGAGACGAGAGGTAGGGGGCCGGAGAGCAGAGGTGGGGGCTGGTGAGGGGCAGATCCCAGAAGCCAGGCTCTCCTTTGTTTCTCCTTCCAGCTGGGGGCACCAGGGACGATCTCTGTGCTCGAGGGGTCTTGCCTTCTTTTGGGCAGGGGCAGGGGAGCTCAAGGCTTCTCTAGGGCTCAACTCCCAAACCCTGGGAACGGCGGCGCTGGACTCTGAGGGGCAGCCTTGTGCGTGCCTGTGTGCTGTGCAGTGGCAACACTCACTGCACCAAGAAAGGGTAGAGGGGCTGCATGAGCAGAGCCGGCACGCGCTAGGCATGCGCCGATCAGGGTCTGTGGCCTCCTCGTTGTTAGGTGTGTATGCAATGTTGTGAGTGTGTTTAGACTCTGAGTGTAGCTGTGAAGCTGTGGCAAACAGGCTGTGACTTCCCTGGGCGGGGGGGGGTTGTGGGGATGTGTATCTGTGTGTCTCTGTGACAGGTGGGGAATAGCGTGGGGGCGGGGAGCCGTGTGAACCTGCACTTGCCTGCTCCTGCGAGGCTGAATTCTGTGTGCGTGTGTAGGTGTGGCAGGTGAGGTTGCATTTGTGTGTTTTGGGACTGAATTGCATCAACCTCTGTGAAGTGTGTAATTGTACGTGTGTGCGCCTATGCTCATGTGTTCTGAGGTGCGTGTGTGGCGCTGTCTTGGGTCTCTGAGGCGGTTGAGTACAAGGGAGCTATTGAAACGTGCGGTTGTATCTTTGGGAGGGTTGGGTTATACTTGTAGTTCCTTTTTTTTTTTTTTTTTTTTTTTTTTGACAGGCAGAGTGGACAGTGAGAGAGAGAGACAGAGAGAAAGGTCTTCCTTTGCCGGTGGTTCACCCTCCAATGGCTGCTGCAGCCGGCACGCTGTGCTGATCCGAAGCCAGGAGCCAGCTGCTTCTCCTGGTCTCCCATGTGGGTGCAGGGCCCAAGCACTTGGGCCATCCTCCACTGCACTCCCTGGCCGCAGCAGAGAGCTGGCCTGGAAGAGGGGCAACCGGGACAGAATCCGGCGCCCCGACCGGGACTAGAACCCGGTGTGCCGGCGCCACAGGCGGAGGATTAGCCTATTGAGACGCAGCGCCGGCCTGTAGTTCCTTTTAATTGTTTGATTCATTTATGTTTATTGTATCGGAAAGGCAGAGAGACAGCGAGAGACAAAGAGAGATCTTTCATCCACAGCAGCCAAGGTGGGCCAGGCTGAAGCCAAGAGCCCAGAATTCAACCTGGGTCGGTCCCCTGTGTGGGTGGCAGGGCCCCCAGCATCTGAGCCACCGCCATGCCTCTCAGGTGTGCATTAGCAGGAAGCTGGGATCAGAAGCAGAGCAGGGGCACCGGCCCAGGCACTCTAAGGGATGCTGGCGGCCCTAGCGGTGTCTTAACTGCTGTGCCAAATGCCTGCCCCATGTATGTGGGGCCCTTGGAGCAATCCAGTACTTCATTTATTTTCTGTTTATTGCCAAACTTCCCCTGCAGGAATGTAAACTCCATGAGGACAGAAATATTTCTCTGTTTCGCTCACAGTCTCCCTAGCGTCTAGCACAGGGCCCAACACATCATAAGCGCTGAGTCCATTTTTTGAAGGAACGGACAACAAGCGTGCGCATGTTTGGTTAGGTGTGGGGAGTGTGTGACACGTATGAGTCACGTGTGTCTGGCTGTGTGAACGGGCGCCCCTCTTGTGTGTCCAAGCGGGCTAGGTTTCTGTTCTAAGGGGCACGTGAACCAAGCATGTGCACAGGTGTGTGTATGCCAGGCCTGTCCCCGTGGGCCGGGAGCACTTCGAGTGTGGAGCGACGTGGCTGTGTGCGTGCACAGTCGTGTGTGCTTGTGCATGGGGGCGGGAAGGCGCTGTCGGCTTCTCCCAGCCTTCAGCACTCACTCAGCTTCAGCCCAGGTCGCCTGCTGCGAAATGTCAGTGGCAGAGCAGCTAAAAATATCCGCTCTCCTCCTTCTGCTCTCTGCCGGGGCTGATGGGACTGTGGGGCCCCAGCTGGCCCCTTGGGCCCTGGGGGGAGGAGGAACTGCTGGATGAGGGGGCGGGGTAGGGGAGAGAGGGGAAGGAGGCCCTCCTCAGTGCACACCCTTCCCCCTCTCCTCGTGGGCTCCAGAGCCAGGCCTTGGGCTCACCTCTTTCAGGAAGCCCTCAAGAACCCCTCAGGAGCTGCCACATGCTAGTGTGTGTGTGTGCGCGCGTGCGCACGCACGTGTGTGTCAGCCACAGCTGCCTGGGAAGGAGACATGGCCTCCATCAGACTGGGGCTCCTCAAGCCAAGGCTGTGGCTCCCATGTCAGGCCAGGGACTTTAGCAGCCAGAGCTACATCTCCCCTGCAGAGGCCTCCCATCGAAAGAGCTGGTGCCATCTCCTCCCCAGTGCTGGGGCTTAGGGAGGCAGCCCAGGCTACACATGGGCTCATCTGGCCCTGGTCTTGGGGCCACAGGGCCCTGTGACCCTCCTCCATCCTGGGTAGGTCTGCTGCTACTCCGAGTTTGTGGGCAGGGAGGAGTCTTGGCGCTGCCCACACCACACCCTGGGCTGGCACGTGTTTGTGCCGTGGGTACTTGTGTGGGTGCAGGGGGGACAAGTCAGGGCCCATGGCCCCGCTTCACATGCGGGGCTCCTTGGGTGTGCCTCTGCCTGTGTCCGTGGTGCTGCTACTGCCTGCCTGGGGCACTGTGTGTGCAACCAGCGCTAGTGTGGGGAGCTGTGGTGTTCCTCCTCGCTCTCTTGTGTGCCTGTGGGCTTCTGCCTACACTGGCGGGGAGAGGCGCTGGTGGTAACGCCTGCGTGCCGGCGTGTGTGAGGGCGCCTTTGTCAGATGGTATCGGCCTCTGCCTCGCCATGTCTGTGTTTCTCCCACGTGTCTGTGCCCTCTGCCTGGATGTCACACGGATGGGCAGCCCTGTGTCTGTGTGCTATGCCTCTGTCACTCGGATTTTGTGGCTCTGCGTGTCCAAGGGTCCCAGGCTGGGGTGTTCTCTGTGTGGGCTGAAACCTGCTCCCCCTCTCCCACTTCCTCATTTCCTGCTGTCTCTGTGTCCAAGGTCTCCGCCTGTGTGTGTGTTGGTGCGTGGGTGTGCACACACCAACTTTCCCCAGCCTCAAACCTCCAGCCCCAAGCTCTCTCCCACTCTCTCCATTGGACTTGCGGTGGGAACTAAAGAAGAGGGCAGGCAGGCGCTGAGCCTTCGCCCGCCGGGGGCCAGGGCCAGGCTGCCACGAGGGCCCTGCCTCAGCTTTCCTCCGAGCAAGCGCTAAGCCAGAGCCTCGGTTACATGTAAACACCAGCTGTGTCAAGACAGCGCCGCTTCTTCTAGGTCAACAGACAGCTGTGGGGTTGCTAGGCAACTGCCTGGCTCCCCCCATTAGGCCCCCCTCCCACTGCCTCTACCTGCAAACCCTCTGCTGGCTCCCCCCCCCAGGATATGGCCTGGCCCCTCCATGCCAATTAACACAGCAGGGCCGAGGGAGTAGGGGGTCAGGGCAGCTGGGGGGGGGAGACTGTGATCAAGGTAGGGGGAGGCATTAACCCTTCCTCTGCCATGGCCCCCTCTGCCCCAGTGCTCAGCACAGTCCGCATACCTCCTGCCTCACCAGGCAGATTCAGGCCAGACCGCAGTGATGAGGAGCAGGTCCTGAGAGCTGGGGTGGTAACCACCCCCTCCCTCCCTCGGGAAGTCAGACCAGACCCTGAGAGGCTGGAAGCTGCTGTTTTAGGGATGGGTCAAGACCCTTCCCCGGCCAAGCCCGGGGAAGACAGACGGAAGGACCCTGCGGTAAGGAGGGGTTAAGTTTCCCCGTTATTCCCTCCAACACCCCCACGTCTGTCCTCTTCCAGGACCGCAATCCTGGCCATTCCTGTTTGCAAAGCAGCCTTTATCCCAGAGCCCTCGCGGGCCCCAGCGCCACCTTCACCCGACCTGGACCTTCCCTGGACAGATAAGGGCCCCCAGGCCCAGGCAAGGGACTCAGGTCTGGTGCAGGGGGTGCGGGGGCTGCGGCTGAGCGGGGCCGCAGCCGCGGGGGCAGCGCCCATGGCCGCCCCATTAGTATGCGGCCAGGCTCCGCGCGCCATGGCAACCGCCCCCCTCCCGCGCCGCGCCAGCCGGGCAGCCCCGGGCGCAGAGCGCACCTCTTCTCCCACAGGTGGTGGCGCGCGCGGGCGGGCACGCACGCACGGGCACGCATGCACACCGGGCCCGCAGGGTGCCCGGGGGCGCGCCCTGGGCGCCAGGTGCGCTGGGGCCGCCCTGCCCGGCTCCTGCCACCTATGGGCGTGTCCCCCAGGTGCTCCAGCGTGAGCCCGGCGGGAGGAGCAGTACCCGAGGATGTTCTACCTGTGCTGGGGTGTGTCCCGCTCGGCCTCCAGCGCGCCTGTCTGCCTCTGTCTGTCAGCCTGTCCTCACAGCTATGCGCCTGTCTGTGCTCATTTGCCTCCTTGTCCCTGACTGGATGTGGCGCGGAGCATGGCTGTTGTGGACTGAATGTACCTGTGCCTTTGTGTTGGGTGCCTGCCGCTGCATGCTCGGGTCTACCATCTTTGCGCCTGTCTGTACCAGAGGAGTGTGCCTGTTTGTGTGCTATGACTCTGGGTTTTCCGCTGGCAGAGCGCCCCAGGAGTGTCCTGACCTCATGTCTGTGTGCCCAGCTGAGTGCGTGTGTGGACGTGTGTGTGTGCCTTTGCATCTGAGCATGTCTGTGCCTGTGGGATCCGCTGACACCTGCCTGTGACCTGTGCCTGGCATTCTTGCACGTTGCTGGGCATGGCCGTGTGGTGGATTTCGTGCAGTTGTCGATGTCCCTGTGACTGCCCCTAGGAGCCCGGCTCTCCGTGGATGTCACGGCGTGCGTGCCTGTGGGCGCCCTGCGTCTGCGTCCTGGAGTGTGGCTGCGTCCAGGGGCTGCTGGCGCTCTGCCTGCCTCGGCTTCACTCCCTGCTGCCTGAGCGAGCTGACACCTGCTCCCTGAGCACTGGGCCCCTCCCCCCACCTGGCAAGGACAGAGAAGGACACGGAGACAGAGGCAGCCATGGAGGTAGAGACGGAGACACGGAGGGGCACACAGAGCCGAGCAGGCTGCAGAGGTGGAGACCCGCTGTCACAGGGTCAGCCTCTGAGCCCAGGGCCCACAGGAGGCACACGGAGATGCCAGCATCAGGGAGAGAGGGCAGCCCCAGAGCACCAAGTCCGGAACTGCTGAAACCGCACAGACGAGGCTGTGCCTCCCGCTCCCCCCTCTGCAGTTTCCAGCCCCAGCTGTGCCTCCCCCATAGAGCTAACACACAATTCTCCTGGCCCTGGGGCTGGAACCCAGCCTCTGCCTCACAGCTGGCCGTGTGTGTGTGCACACATGTGTGTATGTGTGTGTGTACTGCCTCAGTGTGGCCTTCTGGGCTGGTGCCTAGCTTGCACACAGCCCTCACGCATCATAACCCCTCCACATGCATTGTCTGCATTTTCAAAGACCTGGATGGTGTACACCTTTACACACATGCCACAGGGTCAGCCACACTCATTCAAACCCGGAAACGTGCCCTGGGCCTCCTCCCTCAGTCATACCTGCACAGAGGGCCAGGCGTGTGGAGAGACACACCTGTCGGCAGGTCCGCTGTTCACCGGTCAGCAACTCTCAGACCCCTGGGCTCACAGCAGAAGACACAGCACCACACTTGTCAATGCTATCAGACTGTACACTCAAAGGCAGGCCCTCTGTCACCTCCACTGTTGTGTCAAGGGCCTGGGACAGTGCTTGGTGACTTGTAGGTGATTAAGAAATATATGCAAGGCCGGCGCCGCGGCTCACTAGGCTAATCCTCCGCCTTGCGGCGCCGGCACACCAGGTTCTAGTCCCAGTCGGGGCGCCAGATTCTGTCCCGGTTGCCCCTCTTCCACGCCAGCTCTCTGCTGTGGCCAGGGAGGGCAGTGGAGGATGGCCCAAGTGCTTGGGCCCTGCACCCCATGGGAGACCAGGATAAGCACCTGGCTCCTGCCATCGGATCAGCGCGGTGCGCCGGCCGCAGCGCACCGGCCGTGGCGGCCATTGGAGGGTGAACCAACGGCAGAGGAAGACCTTTCTCTCTGTCTTTCTCTCTCACTGTCCACTCTGCCTGTAAAAAAAAAAAAAAAAAAAAAAGAAATATATGCTGGGGCCAGCAGATAAAGCCGCCACCTGCGACACCAGCATCCTATATCGGTGTGGGTTCGAGTCTCGGCTGCTCCATTTCTGATCTAGTTCCCCGCTAATGTGCCTGTGAAAGCAGTGGAGGATGGCCCAAGAGGTTGGTCCCCTGCAGCCGTGTGGGAGACCCAGAAGCAGCTCCTGGCTCCTGGCCTTGGGCTGGCCCAGGACTGGCCCAACTCTGGCCGTTGCAGCCACTTGGGGAGTGCACCCAGCAGTTGAAAGATCTGTTTCTCCCTCCTCTCTGAAACTCTGTCTTTCAAATAAATAAATAAGTCTTAAAAAAAAAGATTTTGTTGGATGAATGTGTTCACACAGAGACTGATAGTTACTCAGAACTCATAGTAATGTACACTCAGAGTGAAAAATACTAACGGACACCACAGTGCACACACACAAGCAGGCATCATTCACACACCTAGGACAGCACACTCGTACAGGTGCGTGCTACAAACACTTAGCATGCGAGCTAGGCGAGGGCTTCTCAATTTCGGCTGCATCTTGGAACCACCTGAGGAGCTTGTAAAACTCAATGTCTGGGGCTCGTGCTGTGCTAGAGGAGATAAAGCCGCTGCCTGCGACACTGGCATCCTATATAAGCTCCAGTTCGAGTCTCAGCTGTTCCACTTTTGATCCAGCTCCCTACTAATGGCCTGGGAAAAGCAGCAGAAGACCCAAGTGCTTGGGCGTCTGCTACCCATGTGGGGAGACCCGGATGAACTCCTGGCTTCAGCTTGGCACAGCCCCAGACACTGCAGCCATTTGGGGAGTGAATCAGCGGAGGAAAGATCTCTCCGTTTCTTCTCTATAATTCTTAAAAAACAAACAAAAAACAAACCTGAAATCTCATCAAAGGAGTTATACTTTCAATATTAAAACAAAACAAAATAAAACAAAAACCTCTCAGGTCGGCGCTGTGGTACAGCGGGTTAAAGCCCCGGCCTGCAGTGCCGGCATTCCTTATGGGCACTGGTTCTAGTCCTGGCTGCTCCACTTCCGATCCAGCTCTCTGCTATGGCCTGGGAAAGCACGAGAAGATGGCCCAAGTCCTTGGGCCCCTGCACTCCTGTGGGAGACCCGGAAGAAGCTCCTGGCTCCTGGCTTCAGATCGCCCCAGCTCCAGCTGTGGCAGTCATTTGGGGAGTGAACCAGCGAATTGAAGACCTTTGTCACTGTCTCTCCCTCTCAGAGTTACTACCTCTCAAATAAATAAATTCTTTTTAAAAAAAATCTCGGTAACTCCAGTAACTCTTGGAAGCAGAGAGCAAATACTTGAAAGCCTGTCACCCGCATGGGAGACCTAGATTGAGTTCCAGAGTCCTGGCTGTAGTCTTTTTTTTTTTTTTTGACAGGCAGAGTGGACAGTGAGAGAGAGAGAGAGAAAGGTCTTCCTTTGCCGTTGGTTCACTCTCCAATGGCCGCCGAGGCCAGCGCGCTGCAGCCGGCTCACCGCACTGATCTCATGGTAGGAGCCAGGAGCCAGGTGCTTATCCTGGTCTCCCATGGGGTGCAGGGCCCAAGCACTTGGGCCATCCTCCACTGCCCTCCCTGGCCAGAGCAGAGAGCTGGCCTGGAAGAGGGGCAACCGGGACTAGAACCTGGTGTGCCGGCGCCGCAAGGCGTAGGATTAGCCTGGTGAGCCACGGTGCCGGCCCTGGCTCTAGTCTTGACTTTGGCCTAGCCCCAACTGTTGTGGACATTTGGGGAGTGAACCAATAGATGGAAGCTCTCTCTCTCCCTGCCTCTTGAATAATAATTTTAAAAAGTAAAAAAATCTCAGTGCCCAGGCCCATTCCCAGACCAATAAAATCAGAATCTCTTGGGGTAGGATGTGGGCATCTGTATTTTAAGTTTATTATTTTTTAAAAGATTAATTAATTAATTTGAAAATCAGAGTTACAGAGAGGGAAGGAGAGATCTTCCATGTGTTGGTTCTCTCCCTAAATGGCCGCAAAAGCCAGGGCTGAACCAGGCCAAAGCCAGGAGCCAGGAACTTCAGTCAGGTCTCCCATATGGGTGGCAGGGGCCCAAACACTTTGGCCATCTTCTGTTGCTTTTCCCAGGCCATTAGCAGAGAGCTGCATCAGAAGTGGTGCAGCTGGGACATGAACTGGAGTGCATAGGAGATGCTCAAATTGCAGACAGTGGCTTCACCTGCCATGCCGAAATGCCAGCCCAGTATTATTTTTTTAAAGACTTATTCACTTATTTGAAAGGCATAAAAGAAGAGAGAGAGAGAGAGAGAGCTATCTTCCATCTGCTGGTTCACTCCCAGAATTCTCATTTAGAGCCACAACTCCAGTTAGGTCTCCCACATGGGTGGCAGGAACCCAAGTCCTTGAGCCATCATCCAATGCCTCCATAGCGCATTATCAGAAAGTGCAGAGGAGCTGGGACTCGAACCAGCATTCCTGTATGGGACGTGGGCATGCTGAGTGGTGGCTTAACTTGCTGCGCCACAGCACCCGACTGGGTTTCCGCACTCGTAAGCTCTCGGGTGGTTCCTCTACAGCTGAATGGAGAACCTCCGATCTGGATGAACAGACTAACACGTTGACGTGGGGCTTGCTACAGGACAGGGACAGCCTGGGCTTTTACTCTGGAACCAGGTTACTTAGTTTGAGCTCTGGGATCCATCACTTACAGTGTGGGTTTGGTAAGTAGCCTCTCTGCACTTGAACTTCCTGTTACAGTGACCCTCACAGCCTTGCTGCCGGAGAGTGTGTAGAATGGTTGGTGTGCAGCAAATGCTTTATCATTTTTGCTGTATTTCTATCATTAAAATTGTTGAATCACAGAATGGATTGATTTTTGGGTTCCAGGAGCAGAATTTATTTTTTCCTTAAAGTGTTATAAAAAAGCAAGGGTCTGGAATCAGACTCTAGGTCAACCTGCTTCTGGCACCTGCGAGTGACCCTGGACAAGGGCACTTCCTTCAGGACTGTGAGCCAGTTTTCTCATCTGTAAACAAAGTCTCTTGCCTACCACCTCCAGGGTTGTTTTGAAGGATAAACCCCTTAGGTGAGTGCTTACCCAATGCTGGCAAAACCTAAGTCTCTGGGAGCCATGCTGCCCTGGTGCATTCTGGGATCAGGTGTGGCTGTGGTTGGACGCCAATGTCAGAACAGGGTGAGCCCCCAGGCCTGTGGGCACACAGAAGCTTCTACCCAAAGGCTGGCTCTAGTCTCCGGCCATGTCTAAGATCCCTCTCGTCCCCTTCCTCACTCTCCTGGAGCCCCTGTTCCGCATACCAAGAACTCCTCCCACCACTTCTCTGTGCCCTTCCTGCTCTCCCCAGGCATTTCCTGTCCTTTCTAAAGTGAACACCACCACCTCTGCACTCAGCCACCTGCCTGGACTCCCATTTCCTTCCTGTGTCTCCCCTCTCCGCCTCAATTCCGGAGCCCTGGGCCCGCATCTCTTCACTGACCTTCTCCCTTCTCAAAGCCCATCTCACGCTCAGCATCAGTCCTTTGCATGGAAAAGCTCTGCCTGGGGCTGGCACTGTGGCATAAAAGTAGTGTTGGTGGGCCGGCGCTGTGGCTCACTAGGCTAATCCTCCACCTGCGGCGCCAGCACCCCGGGTTCTAATCCTGGTTGGGGCACCGGGTACTAGTCCTGGTTGCTCCTCTTCCAGTCCAGCTCTCTGCTGTGGCCCAGGAGGGCAGTGGAGGATGGCCCAAGTGCTTGGTTCCCTGCACCCGCATGGGAGACCAGGAGGAAGCACCTGGCTCCTGCCTTCGGATCAGCACAGCGCCGGCCGTAGCGGCCATTAGGGGAGTGAACCAATGGAAGGAAGACATTTCTCTCTGTCTCTCTCTCTCACTGTCTAACTCTGCCTGGGGGAAAAAAAAAGCAGCGCTGGTTAAAGCAGTGCCAGCATTCCATGTGGGTGCCAGTTAAGAGTCTTGGCTGCTCCACTTCTGATCCAGCTCCCTGCTAATGCTCCTGGGAAAGCAGTGGAAGATGACCCAAGTGCTTGGGTCCCTGTATTCATGTGGGAGACCCGGCTGAAGCTCCTGGCTCCTGGCTTCAGCCTAGCCATTATGGCCATTTGGGGAGTGAACCAGAGTATGAAAGATCTCTCTCTCTCGTTCTGTCTCTCTGCCTCTGCTTCTCCCCCTCTGTAACTCTTTCAAATAAAGGAGTCTCCTTTTCTTTTTTCTATTTTTTTTTAACAGAAAACCTCTCCCTCATCCCCCACACTCCCGGCTCAACCTAGCAGGTCTCACCCTCTTAGAGATCTGCACCCCCCCACTCCCCCAAGGCCAACTCAGCCCAGAGGCCCCTGCTGAGCACACCTCTTCCGGCTTTGGCCCAGCCCAGCCTCACCCACTGGTTCTGCCTCCACCCAGCCCCACCTTGCCCAGAGTGACCTCTCCAAAGCCCTGCCCCCCACCCAAGCAGACCTCATTGTATGGCTTTTCCCTCCTGCCACCCTCTCGGCACTGGCCTTTGCTTGCGCTTTCATCCTCTGGGAATGCCCTCATTTTCCTGCCTAGCATCCTAGCCTTGGCTCTTTAGAAACGGTCACCTGCCTGACCCTCAGGGAGGTCTCCCTGCTTCCTGCTCGCCACCGGGAGGCCAACGCCGGTGTGGCACTGGTGCCTCCCAGTCTGCAGGCAGGAAGGGCAGGACAGCGTGTTAGTCTCTGAGCCTTGG